CCTAGCCCAGCCGAGCCCGCCTCTCCCGGGCCTAGCCCGGCCGAGCCCAGGAGCCCCCCAAGGCCGGGCCGCTGTCGCCCCCTGCTGGCAGCGCTCGGAGCGCTCGGCACCGCTCCCGAAATCCCGAAAAGCTCTAAAACCCTCCCGGAATAGCTCCCCAGAAATGAAACACACAATGCCTCCTCTAATAACTAGTGCCCTAATCGTAATAGAGTTGCCTGGAAAAGAAGCATTCACAAATCTTTCTGCATAAGCTACATCGTCACGAGTTCTGCATCGCTACATTTAAGATGCTGTATTAGAATCTTGTAGAAAAACGCACTGTGGAAGGCTTCTATTCTTTCCAAAGAACATATTGCCCATATTAATTGTTCGTAGTCGCCCAAGATCCTCAAACTCACAGGTGATAAAAGGCTGGAAGAAGTCTTCAGAGGCCATTAATTCTCTGTCATGGTTTAGCCCCAGCTAGCAGCTGAGCCCCACAGAGATGCTCCCCTCTTCCCAGGATGATGGGTGAGAAAACCACAAGGGTAAAATTAATAAACTTCGTGGGTCAAGATAAAGACAGTTTATTTAACAGTAGGTAAAGCAAAATCCATGCACATAAGGAAAGCAAAACAATTCATCCACCACTTGCCATGTGTTCAGCCATTCCCTCCCAGGAAAGCAGAGCTCCATCACACATAGTTGGGAAAACAAACACCATTGCCCCAAACTTCCTCTCTTCCTTCTTCCCCTCAGCTTTATATGCTGGGCATGATGCCATATGGTCTGGAACATCTCTTGCATCAGTTGGGGTCAGCTGTCCCAGCTGTGTCTTAGCAGTCCTTAAGATCTGGTACTAAGGTGCTGCATTTCACCTCACAGACTACCCAGCCTAGGCTGTTACTGCCATAACTCCACACAGGGAGCAAGAGTTATCTAGGGCCAAAGGTATCACTGCGGTCCATCTGCTGGGAAGCAGAGCATCTCCTCCAGATACACCAGGCTTAAACAGAGAAATTCTCTATAGAGAAATAGGCTGAACCAATCGTTAAAAACAACTCTTTTGCTTTGAGAAACATCTCCACCTACCACAAAGATTTTGGGGAACCCTTTTAAGGAAGGCAGAAAACTGATTTGTGACCAAGTTTTGACAAAATTAGGGCTTCTTGAGCCTAAAATAATAAGCTGGAGTGGTCATTAAGCAGTTGGATACTTAGTAAAGTGAAAAAAAAATGCTTTCTGAACTTTCATGACTCTACAAATGGATCAAGAACATCATACCCAAACTGTGTTTCTGTATCTGAGAAAAATCTGCTTTCCTTCAAGCTCAGGAGGGGAGATGGGGTACAGTTAAACACAATAAAAAGTCAAACAACCAAACAGACATGATGAACCATAGTGCCTTTCACAGGAGTGAAATTTCTCATTTAGCATTAGTCTGGAGGTGGGTAGAAAGGAAAGGGTGATTTTTTTACTTCACTGCTTTACCCCATGGAGCAGTATCACTGAAGTCAGCATAGAGGGCACCACAGCATTTCTGCTTAATAGCAGAAGAAAGGCAACAAAAATCTCCTTAACCTCAAATACTGTGGATGTGATTGCAGGGAGCAGAAACTGGGCTTCTGACCAGGGACAAGCATCAGGATCAGTACTTGACCACCTCTAGTTAATTAGGACATGGATAAAAATGAACCAGTAACAAAAACCTTTGTCCACTACCAGCAAACAGAAAAGGACACATTAAAGGAAGAATGACCACATTAAAGCATCCTTCTATTCCTATACCTGAAAAATCATCATTTTTATCCCAAAGCAGTAGGAAAAATTGGCTGAAAACATCTAAAACCTTTTGCTTTCAAACACATCTGCTTCCCAGAGTACTGTTACTGAATGGCCTGAGGCAGTAAAAGGCTACAGACACATTTACTCTCCAAGCATTCAACAAATGCAGCAGCAGTGAGAGGAGAAGCAATTTCAATTTATAGAATCACAGAATGTCCTGAGTTGCAAGGGACCCACAAGGACTGAAGTCAACTCCTGGCCCTGCACAAGACCAGCTCAAGAATCCCACCATGCGGCTGAAGCATTATTCAAATGTTTCTTGAGCTGTGTCAAGCTTGGTGCTGTGACCACCTCCCTGGGGAGCCGGTTCCAGAGCCTGCTCCACCCTCTGGGGGAAGAACCTTTTCTCAGTATCCAACCTAAACCTCCCCTGACCCAGCTTCAGGCCCTTCCCTCAGGTCCTGTCACTGTCACCAGAGAGAAGAGATCAGTGCCAGCTCCTGCTCTTCCTCTCATGAGGATGTTGCAGACTGCAATGAAGCCTTCCCTCAGCCTCTTCTTCTCCAGGCTGAATAGACCAAGACTCAGCCACATCTCATATGGCTTCTCCTCCAGAGCCATCACTTTCACAGTCCTCTGAACACCCTCTAGTAGTTTTATATCTTTCCTGTATTTTGATTTATATTGTGGTGTCTGAAACTGCACACAGGACTTTAGACATTTTCCTAAGTTCTTTGTCTTGTCCACATAAAGGCATCTTCCTCAGACTACCCCTTTTGAACAATCCTGATGGATTATTGAAGTTGAATAAAATCAGTAAATCCTCAAAGGATTTGCAACTTAAGGTTTTCACTGTCACTATATTTATACCAAGATCAGCAGAGCAGCAGTTGTTGCAACAAATTTTCTGTTGGATCAAGTACAATGGGCTTACTGAAATGATTTCTAATCTTTTACATTTCCAATTACTTTGTCAACAAATTCTTCCTGGAAAATAAAGATCTATAAAAAAAACCACCTATACAAGCCAAAAAAGTGAAAGATTTACCATCTACAAGAATTAAACTGACATTGTTTTGCTGCCTTGCAACTTTGTTGAAGTTGAGTTGCTACCTGCAGCCAAAAGTCTGATAAACACATCAAAATAAGAAATGAAAGGCATCCAGCAAATAGCAACTAGAGATGGAGAATAGAAAGGAAATCCATTTAACTGCCTAGTTTCTTAATAAGTTTACCTTAACAATAAAGTAAAATGCTGAAAAACAACAACACAAGAACCACAAGTGATAAATATGATAAAGGTGAGTAAGCAAAGGAAAATTTTAAGATGGGATAAACACACAAAGAATAAAACATGCACTGTTCAGCTGCTGAGGTATAAAAATACATCAGTCAGTCTAACAATGCTCCTTCATGCTACCTCTCCAGTTACTGCTCTTTAATTTTCTCCTTGGCATAAACAAGCAACATTCAGCTACTGTACAGCCCAAGACATTGACAGCTCAAAGAGCTTAACAATTTAGCAGAGATCAAATGTCCATAACTGCAAGTCATTTTGAACCGAAGATGTCAAGACATGCAAAATCTACTGGTCCTTAGATCTGATTTAAGAATTAATCATCCATTGCTCAAGTATTGTGCATTTTTCATTTGTTCTTCTTGGCCAGACATTTCACCAACAGTTTAAAAGGCCTCTTCATACCTTCATTCACTCCTGAAGGCAGTCAGGCTCTCAAAGGACAAGTCAATGATCACTTTCACACACCAATCAGACTAGGAAGAGGCCTACAGACCTTCTCAAGCTTGCAAAGCATTGTATTTTTTCCATGATTTCCTCAAAGATTAAGACATATGGACTTCTGGAACTAGAATGTCACAAGAAAATTAAATTCCTGAGTCCATATGCCCTTATGGCCTTAGCTTAAGGCCATAAAGATATTAATTTTCTAGCTAGTGCTACACTTGGCTAGAAATATACGGCTCTAAAATAATTCCCAGAACTACCACCACCCCTAGCAAACAGCTCTCATGGTATGGGTGAGACTTGCCTTCCCATGATTCGCTGTAGACGACCCCACTTTATCAAGATACTCCACGTGCCCAGTATAGAAGCCTTGTCCTTTGGTATCTTCTATTTGAAAAACAGTATTAGTAATGTAAACATTAAGCTTGCAAGATTCTTGCAGAGCTCAGCTAAGAACAGTCAGATAATTCACCATAAAATATTAGGTGTGTCAGTTACTAGTTAAACTATTTAAACATGCTTTTTACTGAACCCTGCTAAATACTAATTAAAAAGTCATGCAGTACCACACTGAATACTTTACAGATGCTTCTCAACTCTGAACTTTGACACCCAATTCTTTCAAACAGAAGTGTATCCTAAATTCTTTTGTTTCTTAATTACACTCGAAGTCAGAGGGCAAAAAGGTCACATACATAAATTTTAAGTACATGCAAGAAAAGTCAAACAAGCCACAGGCCAGAAGAACAGTGCTGTGACCTTCTTTCTGATTTCCCCAGTAAATAAGTACTCAGAAGGTTACAGTTTTAATTTGCATGGCTGGTGTCAAAAAAGATTGAAAGTGACAAACCATGTCAGCCTGCATTTGAAACCTTTAAATTCAATCTCTCTCATTGACTGCCAAAGTGAGTGTGCAAGTGAATTAGGAGTCAGCTTCACACTAACTGTGAGCACAGTGAGTGGCTCTAGGCTCAGTCAGGCTTCAGAACAGACAAGCCCAGGGGTGAAGAATGTATGATTAGCTTCAGCTGCATTTTGCAGAAGCCCTGTTACCATGAGTGGAATATCTGATAAACCTCTTCCCCAGCCTTTCATGAGAGCAAGATTGAAATCTAGCTTTTAGGAAGCCTTCTGACTGTTCCAATACAGTTTCACTGAAGTAAAGGCAAAGAGCAACCATAAAAATGTAAACTTCAGAAGTTTTACCGAATACAGATAGCTGAGGTGAGAGACTCTGAAACATCCCTTCTGCCCTCCAAGAGTTATTACTTTTTATGCTGCTTTAAGAAAACAGAAATAAAATCCAAGTCGGCCTTCCCTAGCTTG